GTAAGTGGAGAAGTGATAGGGAAAGATACCTGACAGCAATCTGTGGCCTCCACACACACATTCACATGTACCTATGCAAACCACCCACACTGATCATGCATCCTGAAACAGACACGTGAACTCCCAATAAAGTCAAAATGTTCTGAGTATGGTGGCGCATGCCTTTAATCCCAGCACTTGGGAAGCAGAAGCAGGTGGAGCTCTGTGAGTTCAAGGCCAGCCTGGTCTACCTAGTGAGTTCCAAGCCAGCCCCACTACAGGGAGACCCTGTCTCAAAAAGGTAAAAAGAAAAAAAAAATCAAAATGTTATATTGCTGATATACTGCTCATGGCTGTATGTGGCAATCAAAAGGCTGAGTTTACCCATAGCTCAGTGTTGATATGGTTGAGTACTGACAAAGTACATACAAGAAGTCAAATAAGCAAGATCATTAACAATGCTTCTAAGCACAGTATACTGAACTATAACCACAGAGAACTGAAGATTTCTTGGAGAGGTAGAAAAGGAAGTAAAACTGTAGCTTGTTGGACTATTAGGAGATCGGGAGATAACATCTATTCAGAAGGACCCATAATCCAGATTTAATGTTAGATACAGGCTAGTATTAAGTAAATGTAAAATATGTTACGGCAGGCCAGTGAGATGGCTTCACTGAGTAAAAGCACTTGCCACCAAGCCTGACAACTGAGTTCAATCCCTGGGACCCACAAGATCAAAAGAAATGAACAGACTCCCACAAGTTGTCCTCTGACCTCCACATCATGGCATGCATTTGTACACACACACACCCTATACACACAAAAAATAATTCTTTTTTTAATGTTATGGCTAGATCTAGTTTTCTAAATGCCACACTCCAATTAAAGGAACCAAAAGCGGCTTAAAGAAATGGCTGATTGGGGCTGGAGAGATGGCTCAACAGTTAAAAGCAATTGCTGTTCTTCCAGAGGAACCAACTTCGGTTCCTGGCACCATACTCACCTGTAACTCCAGGTTCAGGGGGATTTGACATCCCTTTCTGAACATAGACACATATATACACATAATTTTTTAAAAATGGTGCTCAAGGGCTGGAGAGATGGCTCAGCAGTTACAAACACTGGCTGTTCTTGCAGAAGACCCAGGTTTGAATCCCAGCACCCACATGGCAGCAAATAGCTGTCCCTACCTCCAGTTCCAGGGGACTCGACACCCTCTTCTGACCTCCAGACATTGCAAGACACAGGTGCACTTATATACATGCATACACATAAAAATATTTTTTTTAAAAAATGGTGCTCAAAAACCAGAAAGATGTATGTATGTATCAAATGGATACAGGAATCAACCTGAAAGAACTCTCAATGACCAAAGCTGAGACAATTTAAGCAACAAAGTAATACAGAATTACATTGTAACGCAAGTATAAAATATATTAATATAAAATTAAGCAATCTGGGCGTGGTGGCTCATGCCTTTAATCCCTGCATTCAGGGGGCAGAGGCAGGCAGATCTCTGTGAGTTCAAGGCCAGCCTGGTCTACATAGTAAGTTCCAGGACAGCTGGGGCCACAGGGAGACCCTGCTTCAAAATGACCGAAAAAAAAAAAATTGAGCAGACACAGCAGAATCCCTGGCAGCTTGAGTGCCAGCTAGCCTGGCATACATAGCACAGTGACAGAGGCCTTGCTTCAAAAATGGCAAGGACCAACACTGGAAGTTGTCCTCTGATCTCCACATGTGGACCACAGTCCACAAGAGCCTGTGTGTGCACATACATAGAATGAGGAGGCAGCCAAGTATGGTGGCTTATACCTGCAATCCCAACAATTGTAAGGCTGCAAGTTTGTGGCCTGCCTGGACCTATATAGTCATTTCCAGAACAGCTTGGGCTACAGACCAAGACCCTGTCTCAAAAAACAAAAGTGAGGGCTAGGGAGATAGCTCAATGGGCAAAAATGCCAAGTGCTTGCTACACACACATGAGCACCTGAGTTTGAATGTCCAGAAACCACATACAGGGCTGATGCTGAATGTGAGCATCTGTAATGTCAGTGCTCCTGTGAGATTAAGAGGTGGAAACAAGAGAATCCTCAGAAGTTCCAGACCAGCTAGCCTGGAACATGCAGCAGAAAACCAAGCGACTCTGTCTCAAAACAAGGTGGAGGAGAGGACACCCAAGGTTGTCCACACGTACACTGTGACATGCCCACACCTGCATTCACTACTCACACAGAGTTGTTTGGATTTTTGAGCATATACCTATAATTCCAGCACTCAGGAATCTGAGGCATGAGGGTTGCCTTGAGTTTAAAGGTTAGCCTGGGCTACACAGAGACCCTATCTCAGACATAAACAGAAAAAAAAAATGGAAGAAACCGGGTAAGATATATGGAAATCATATCTTTGCAACTTTTTTGTAAATCTAAAAATATCTCCATGCCCCCTAAAAAATCAAATATCCCAAAATAAGCAGTTTATTTAAAAGACATTAGTCTAGCTTAGTGGACTAGAGATGTAGCTCAGTTGACAGCATGCACATGGCCGGCACATGCCTTTAATTTCAGCACTTGGGACTCAGAGAGGTGGATCTGAATTCCAGGTCAGCCTGGTCTAAGAGTTCCAGGCTGCCAGTGCAACATAGTGAGATCTCTTGTCTCAAAAAAAAAGTTGCTAGGCTAGGTATGGTAGCATATGCATAATTTTCAGCATTCATTAAATGAAGCAGGAATATCCAGAGTTCAAAGTCAGGTTGGCCTACACAGGAAGATCTCTCAACCTTTTTTTTTTTCCTGTCTTTTTGAAGCAGGGTCTCCCTGTAGCCCCAGCTGTCCTGGAACTCACTATGTAGACCAGGCTGGCCTTGAACTCACAGATATCTGCCTGCCTCTTCCTCCAAAGTGCTGGAACTACAGGCGTGCGCCACCACGCCCAGCTTCTCTCAACTTTTGTGTGTACTGGTTTGTTTCTTTTTAAAGTGCTGGGATGCCAGGCAAGCATCACTGAGCTACATCTCCAACCTAAGACCCTGTTTCAAAACTGTAAAAATTGGGGCTAGCAAAATGGCTAAGTGGAAGAGATGCTTGATGCCAAAGCAGATGACCTCAGTTCAGTCCCTGAAATCCATGTCACAGGAGAGACTCCTGCAAACTGTCCTCTGATCTCCACATAAACTGTGGCACACATGTCACCAACCCTCCATACACGCAAAATAAATGTTTAAAAAATGCATACTAGGAAAGCATCTTACCATTTAGTTATGCACCTTGGTCATTTTTTTTTTTTTCAATAGGGTCTCCCTGTAGTCCCAGCTGGCCTGGAACTCAGTTTGTAGACCAGGCTGGCCTTGAACTCAGAGATCCTCCTGCCTCTGCCTCTCAAGTACTGGGATTAAAGGCATGTGCCACCACAAATGGCCCTTTTTGTTGTTTTAAGACAGTATAGTACAGGCTGGACTAGAACTTACTATGTAAACCAAGCTGGTCTCAAACTCACAGTAAGTCACCTAAACAGATGGTCTTCCACATTTATGGAGAGATGGCTCAGTGGTTAAGAGCACTAGCTGCTCTTGCAGAGGGCCTGGATTCCGTTCCCACCACCCACATGGTGGCTAACAACTGCCTGTAACTCCAGTTCCAGGGGATCTGACACCCTCTTCTGAGTTCCATAGGCATTGCATGATACGGGTGCACATTCAGGCAATACACTCATACACATAAAATATTTTTTTAAAAAACACATTGAAGCCGGGTGTGGTGGCGCACGCTTTTAATCCCAGCACTCAGGAGGCAGAGGCAGGCGGATCTCTGTGAGTTCAAGGGCAGCCTGGTGGGGCTACAGAGAGACTGTGTAAAAAAGACCAGAAAAACAAAAAAAAAACACACACTGAGCTGGGCGTGGTGGTGCACACCTTTAATCCCAGCACTCAGGAGGCAGAGGTAGGCAGATCTCTGAGTTCAAGGCCAGCCTGGTCTACATAGTGAGTTCCAGGACACCTGGGGCTACAGGGAGACCCTGTCTCAAAAAATACCAAAAAAAAAAAAAAAAAAATGAAGTTATCATCATATACTCCCCATTTCCAACCCTCTCAATACACCAGAGACATGATTTATTAAAAAACTTTTTAATCGGTTTACAAAGGAGCTACAGACTACATTGAAACTAATCTTTGTACAAAAGGCAAAAAAAAAAAAAAAAAAAAAAAGAAGAAGAAAGTTCCCCCAAACACCCAGGGACAAAAGATAGGCAGAGAAGATACAAAAGGAGCAGGAAAAAGACAAGATTAACATCATACATACACAAGAGTGAGGGAGAGCAAGATGAGTGACTGTTCGAAGTACTTGCCCACACAGACCTGGCGGTAATTGGATGGGAACCCACAACAAACACAGCATGAGATATTAAGAGGTTTAAAGGCAACAGTGGTATGGAAACTGGTTATTGCTAGTGTTAGGAAAGATAAAATTGTTTTAGGCACCAGATTGGAGCACCACCCCTGTCTCAGGATGACAGGAGAGGAAGCAGGCCCAGGGGCAGCTGCCTTTGGAGTAAGGAAAATGGTTTCCTTAAGTCAGTCTCAGCATATTCTCCTCACAGTCTTAATGCTGTGCCCTAGACTCTAGCTAGGTAAGGGCTATTAGATGTTACTAGGAGAAAAAGGTGACCAGAAATATGAAGAACTGCCATTACCCACACTTTTTAAGAGTAGTTACTAGAAAAGCTGGGTAGACAAAGCAAATTCCCAGGTGAAGGCACAGTGTGATTCCTGAAGGCAAGATATAGGAAAGCACACAACCCAAGGGATACATCAAGTCTCCTCTATCTGCTGCCCCAGCTTAATCTCATTTGTCATGCTTTCCTTCCCTCCCCCAGATCCCTTATACTGAGCTAGGTCTTAAGGGAGGGACAAAAATCAGTCTGTACTTTCTTAGCTAAGATAAAGAAAGTTGGGCTGGGTCAAATGGGGACAAATACTCCATCTCCCAAATGAATGCTGTGGAGAAATGTTTTTGGGGTTGGGAAAGTCAGAGTAGGGATGACCTAGGGAAGGAATCAAGGACAGCCCTCTTCTTTCCCAGTCTTCAATCTATGGCAAGTAAGCCAAGTAGGAAGAGGGAGTAAGCTAAACACTGCTTAATGTCTTCCTGGGGGGTGGTGTTTAGGAAAGGCAGACAAAGAAAAGAAACAGGTCAGCCTCAAAGCCAGTCTATTCAGAACCTCCTAGAAGAGGTCTGTACCCCCGGAGCAGAGCCAAGAGAGGCACTAGAGAACAGTCTCCTAAACCAAAGTACGAACCTGCCCATATTTTATCAGCAGTTTTCAAAAGCAATGTTTTATGGGGTTGGATAAGTGCCATATCCTCCTTTTCCCCCAAAGCTGCTGCTGCTACCTTTCATCCTTGTACATAACTTACTGGCCCACTTCTGAGGGAAGATGACACTCTGAGATTTCAAGAATTTCTCCTCCCAACTCCAAGGGCTACCCAGCTTTGTGTAGGGGAAGGAGAACCACACAAAGGGCCTCACTTGAGGCAGCTAAACTGTTCTCATTTCCTTCGTACCTGATCTGATCCCAAGATCCAAAAGACAACAGGGTATTTAAAACTGAATGAAAACCTTAATCACGTAGCACCAGGGCTCCCTCAACATAGGCCTGATTAGCACACCCAAAAGAACCCCTCAAAAAGTATATAAATGTATTGCGTCCTAGCAATGATCTGCAGCTTCCAGTACTCACATAATGTGAAGTATTAACAATACAAAATATATTTTGAAAGTCAAACACCCGCAGTTCATAGTGCTTTCTCAGATTTGTTAAAAAAATACAATGCTTAGTTTTCTATATAAGATATACAAAAGCAAAAAATATATATGTAGTAGAAATAAATCAGCCATAGTAATTTACAGCTTTTGTCTCCAACCCTCCCCCAATTATAACCTTTGCCCCATATTCCAATCTATACTTTCTGTGATTAAAGGTTCTTTTATTCTGAAACTAAGCTGAGAAATATCTGTTATATTGCATTTTGTTTAGCACCTCAAAACAGAGTGCCAGCTGGGGGGGGGTCTCTGAAGGAAGATGGTGTGGGGTCATTCTTCTCTGGATAAAAGGTGACAGTCAAATACCATGTAGATGAATGTGAATGGCCAACCTAGAAGTACAAGGGATGCATGCTTTAAGATTACTATGGTGGCCATCTACCATCCTGCCAGGTTTGGTCATGTAAAAAAATTATGAAAACTGCTTGGTGGTACACACCTGTAATCCCAGCACTTAGTAGGCAGAGGCAAGAAGATTAACCCAAAGTTCAAGGCCAGTCTAGGTTACACAGTGAGTTCCAGGCCAGCCTGGGCTACAGAGTAAGGCTGTGACTCAAAATAACCAAAACAAAAAATGAACAACTCATTAAAAATGTTCAGAATCAATATGCATGTCAATTACATAATTTCTGCTAGCCAAAAGTTCAGGGAAGGGATTTTTCAGTAATGAGATTCTGACTCAAGGAATGTAGCCTCTTAACTGGCTGTAAAAAAGACTGAGTGGCTCACTGCTGCTGGGAGACACAAGCAGAAACTGCTTCTGTTTTAGGGTCAAATAAGACACTAGAGGATATAGGTGGAAAAGCAGAATCTGACATAAACTCATTCATGATAATGTTAAGGAAGTAGATGTTGATGGTAAACCATCAGTTCTTCACTCAAGAGAGAAAAAAACACCATCAAATAACTTATATGAATGCTTGTGGTCCTTGGCATCATTAAACTGGTTTATATCCAAGCTCTTCATACAGGAGAGCTTCTTCTAGGCCTTGAAGTGTTCTACCAAAATACTGCATACTGGTGAGTTTTCCTCCCACTTCCTCCAAAAGATACCAAAACACATGATTATAGACCTAAAATAACAGGGTCTGAGTTCTGCTTTTCTGTGGCTATAAAAGGTGTGATGGTGGCTGGGGGTAGATAACTTTACTTCAGTATTAACAAATGTGATCTAGGAAAGTTCCTGAGTATTGATAACAGCACTGAGTCCGCAAAGAAAGGACCAAATGGAGGAAACTATTGTTAAGAGTATTAACAGCTATTGTATTTCAGGTTAACAACACCACAAACGTGCACGAACCTGATTTGGATGGATTTTATATAAAATGTATAAGCATCATCTATTTGTAGCCAAGATCAAAAGACTTAGTAAGGATTCTGCTATCAATCTGGATATTGATTTCATTTTCAAACACAAAAATAGTTTCTTCTTTAGAAAAGTGCAGTACAACACTCCCCCCGCCCCCATTCATAATTGTAGTTGATTTAGCATAGGCAGAGAACTGACCTCAGGATCATACTCAGGTTTTAAGACAGATTTCTAGATAATGGGCCTGAAAGGCCTTTTGATCTGAATTTATGTCCCAGTAATTTCAAATATAATTTCTCATCTGCATGAAGATATATACAGGCACAAACACACATTCACACACACACAGTCATACACAAACACTTTACTTGTTCTATCAGATCAGGGTAATTTTTTTTATTGCAGGTCTCTTTAAATATTGACTAACAGAAAACCTATCCCCAACCTAATAGATTACACACATACACACAGTCATTTCCACACTTCCTCACAGTGAAAAGCTCTCTGACAAGATACCAAAAGGTCAAGAGAGACAATGCTTTAATGGCTGGGCCTTGAGGACAATTCTGGTTGCATTTAAATCTCAGTGCCAATTGCACTGAGTTCCCTGCCGCTGTAATTTTTGGATCAGTCTCTTCTGGAATCAGGTCACGGAGAAAACAAGATGGTTTCTCCCAATCTCTCCTGTAAACCACAGAGGTAAGACAAGATTCCTTTTTGTTCTGGGCTATCATCCCCAGGGCTGTGTGCTTCCTTTTTTCTTAGGAACCACCCAAGTACATACAAGGAAGAGTTAAGGGGGAAAAAAAATCTCAAGAACTACTGTCTTGCCACTGGCACATACTGTAAATTCTGCAGAATGAAAACCTGGAACAGATTCACTAGCTGATATTCCTTAACAACATTAGAAAGAACCTACAGAAATGTTCAAAAGAGGAAGCATACTTCCTTTCAGGGTTTGGACTCAGAAGCCCATCATTAAGGCTGAGAGCTACCTTGGAAGACAATGATACCAATATCCTAATAATTCCACTAACTTCTGAACCCAAGACTATGAAAGCTGTTCCCTACTATCTGACCATTTTGACAGTTTATACACCAAATCCAAGATTATCTCCTTCTGAGTCTCATATTTATACAATTCCACAGAAAGACTTCTAATTTCCTGATACTTAGAGCAGCTAACAAAGGGAGATATTTTTGACTCTCCAGCACCAAAGTGCCTGCGTCAGTAGTATTCTGAACACTCCCTCTAAGCTACCTCAAACATCAAAACTGGGCTCCAAGGCTTTTCATTCTGCTGCTGGATCTAAGGTCTTTAAAAGACTGACAAAAGTGTGTAATCGAGGGATCAATATCAAAAACAATACATGAAATAATCAGGTGAGAGAAGGGAGACAAAAAGGACTGAGTCAGGAAAGCAGTGCAAGAAGCTGATCCCAAATAAAATGACAAAATTAAGAAAGAAAACACATTATATATGTATATATGAACTAAAAGCAGAGCATATGAATGCTTACTCTGGTGGGAGGCAAGGACAACATCTATAGAAAAGCTTGATGTGTCACAGTAAGGCTCAGCCACAGAGAAATAAGGCAATAATAAAAAAAAAATGACCAAGGTATTTTGGTCACAGAATGGTCTTTTTCTTCCTCCCAGCCAACCCCTGTGAAAGCATCTTTATATATCTTTTTATATATATATATATATATATGTATATATATATAATATAGAATCTGTTTTTGTTAAAAAGTATTTCAATGATCATATATATTTATCAAGGCATGATGGCTTTAGAAAAGGGGGGGACCCATCATGGGAGAGCTCAGAGGGAAAGGCAGGATGGGGAGGCTGGAGTAAGAAGTGTAAGAAGAAACTGGGATTAAATAAATGCTTATCAAAGTGTGGCACCAACAGAATTCTCACTAACATCCTCCACTTCCAAGGAGGCACCGATGATACAAGTGGGTGCCACAATCCCATCTCTTCTCTTGTCTTCCCTCCCCAAATTCTTTCCACCACCATGTACTTTAATGCCTCATGGCTCGCTCTTCCATGTGTCTCTTGGACCCACACTACCTTGTATCCTGGGGTTGGTGGGTATTGGCCCATGTGTCTCTGGCCCCAGGTGCCTAATCTCAGAAACCATTGCCACTAATATTAATGGACTGTAGATCTGCCACCTGCATGACGTTGATGCCACTGTTGGCAAGACGGGCAATACCCTCTGGACAGATAGCCTCCATGGCTACCATATTGGTGGTAATAAGGGCTGAAGGGGTGGCAGTGCCGCTGCCTTCTGAACCTGCCCCACTGTCCAGGGGCAAAGTGCCCACACTCAGGGCTACACCTGGGCCTCCCTTCTTATTCTGGTGGGTCTTGATATGCTTTGACAGGTGATCACTCCTCATGAAGCGCTTAGGACACTCAGGGCAGGCAAATTTCTTCTCACCTAGGTAAAGGAAGAGAAAAATGGTTAGAAATTGACATGTAAGGAAACGGGGGTATCTGGTCCAATCCACCACCTTCAAACTGCATTAACCACATTCAAACTGCATTAGGAAGAATAAGGCCAGCCTTAGAAGGTGCTAGGTGTGGTGGCAAATGCCTTTAATCTCAGCAGAAGCAGGTGGATCTCCGTGAGTTCAAGGCTAGCCTGGTCGGCATAGCCAGTTCCAGGTGAGCTGGGGCTACAGGGAGACCCTGTCTCAAAAAAGATGCCCCCCACAAAAGACCAAAATAAATAAATAAATAAAAATAAATTAAATTAAAAAATAAAAAATAGCCGGGTATGGTGGCACACACATTTAATCCCAGCACTCGGGAGGCAGAGGCAGGCGGATCTCTGTGAGTTCAAGGCCAGCCTGGTCTACACAGTGAGTTCCAGGACAGCTGGGGCTACAGGGAGACCCTATCTCAAAAAGACAAAATAATAATAATAATAACAACAATAAAAATAATTTTAAAAGAAGAACAGGAACAATCTGTCATGTATCTTTTCATTTGGGCAGGGGAAACATAAAGACTAGGGAACATTCAGCAGGTAAGGGAGAACTTGGCAGAGATGCAGGCAGGACAAAGATGGGGCTGATGTGCCTCCTTCAAAATCCTACTACAAACTGCCAGGCATGGTGGCGCACGCCTTTGACCTTAGCACTTGGGAGGCAGAGGCAGGCAGATCTCTGTGGGTTTGAAGCCAGTCTGGTCTACATAGTGAGTTCCAGGCCAGCTGGGGAGACAGGGAGACCCTGTCTCAAAAATAACAACAAAATTCCTACTAGAAACTGAGCTCCTTCTTAAAAATTTTCCAGATTAACTCCATTTCCATTTGGGACATACTCAGTTTCAAATTAAGTTGTTCAGAATGTTTAGCTATTTCATAAGCATAATATGTCTTTTCATTTGACTTATTACCAGTTCTCTCTTCCCTTGGTTCTTGCTCACCTGTGTGTGTGCGTTTGTGTCTCTGAAGCTCATCTGAACGTGTGAAGCGCTTCCCACAGTATGACCAGGTACACATGAATGGCCTCTCCCCTGTATGCCAGCGCAAGTGTGCCCGGAGATGTGATGTCTTGCCATATACTTTGCCACATCCTTGGATGTGGCAAATGTGCTGTTTCTTTTTTCCAGGATCTCCAGAGCCTCTAAAATTAAGAATATAATAATCTGTCACTCATGCTGGGGACATAAAGAACCACCAAGTGTCAGCACCAATTACCCAATCCAGTCAAACTAACTGTAACTTTAAAATATATTATTTTATGTGTATGAGTGTTTTGCTTGCATGTGTGTAAATGTACCCATGTTGTACAAGGCCCACGGAGGTCAGAAAAGGGTGCTATATTCCCTGGAACGGGAGTTATGGGCATTCCATAACTCTAAGCCAAACTGAAACTTTTTATTCTTTGAATTTCTTTCTTTCTTTCTTTTTTTTTTTTTTTGGTCTTTGTGAGACAGGGGCTCCCTGTGCCTCCAGCTGTCCTGGAACTCACTATGTAGACCAGGCTGGCCTTGAACTCACAGAGATCGGCTTGCCTCTGCCTCCCGAGTGCTGCGGAGCTGGGATTAAAGGCATGCGCCAAAACGCCCAGCCTTATCCTTAAAGGTTATTTTTAAAGATTTATTGCCCGACCTGGTGGTACACACCTTTAATTCCAGCTCTTTAGAGGGAAAGGCAGGGAGATCCCTGTGAGCTGGAGGCCAGCCTGGCCTATGTAATGATTTTCAGGCCAGCCAGGGCTACATAGTGAGACCCTGCCTCAAAAAATAAATAGGGCTGGAGAGATGGCTGGGCAGTTAAGAGCACTGACTGCTCTTGCAGAGGACCCGGGTTCGATTCCCAGCACCCACATGGCGACTACAAACCGTCCTTAACTCCAGTTCTAGGGGAATCCGAAGCCCTCTTCTCTTCTGACCTCTGCGGCATTGGATGACATGGGTGCACTCACATACATGCAGGCAATACACTCATATACATAAAAAAATAGTATTAAAAAAAAAATAAGTAATAAAACAATTTATCTTTATAAATCCGTTTTTTTCTTTTGGTTTTTTCCTTTTGAGACAGGGTCTCCTTGTAGCCCCAGCTGGCTTGGAACTTGCTATGTAGACCACAATGGCTTCAAACTCAAAGAGATCCGCCTGCCTCTGCCTCCTGAGCAATGGGATTAAAGGCATGGACCACTACACTTGGCTTTCTTTTTTGTTTGTTTTCTGAGGCTGGCTTGAAACTCACAATGAAGACCAGGCTGCCTCTGTCTCCCTGGTGCTGGGATTAAAAGCATGTACCACCACCTTCAGTCAGCCCTAAATCTTAAGGTTCAATCAAAGACTGGACATAGTGGCACACTATGGGAGGCCAAGGTACCAGTATCATAAATTCAAGGCTATACTGGGCAACTTGGCAAGTTCCTGTCTCCAACTAAAATAAAGAAGGGCTGGGGGTGTACTTTAGTGGTACAGCATTTACAGTGCAAAAAAGGTAAAGAAGTCAATGAAGCCAGGTGTGCTAGTGACATATACTTGTAATCCCAGCATTTGGGATGTGGAGGCAGGAAATGGCTAATTTGAAGACAATCTAGGTCAAAAACCAGTTCAAGGCCAGGTGAAGCTACACAAGAGTCCTCCATCTCAAAGATAAATGCAGGGCTGGAGAGATGGCTGGCAATTAAGAGCACTGGCTGCTCGTCCAGAGGACCAAATTCAGTTTCCAGCACCCATAGGATGAACAACCAACCATAACCTAAGTTCCAGGGGATCCACTGCCTTCTTCTGGCCTCCATGGAAAGTGCATGCACGAGTGCACTTACATACTTCATTTGCGGGCTGGAGAACTGGCGCAGCCTTTAAAGGCTCAGGCTTACAACCAAAAAGACATACTATATTTATGCAGGCAAAACACATAAGATCTTATTTCAATAAATAAACAAATAAATAAACTCACAGGCTGAAGATCTAACTCAGTGGTAGAGCACTTGCCTAGCATTCAGAGGCAACGAAAGGTCAGAGTAGGAAACAAGATCCCCATAATATGACCTATTTAAATATACTTTATTATCCCTTTGCAACATTCCTGACTCTATCTCCTGAGTTCTGAGATTATAGGCATGGGCAACCAAACCTAGTTTATGAAGGGCTTCCTGCGTACAAGGAAAGCATATCACTGAGATACATTCCCAGCTCCTCCTGAGTTTTTAATTATTAAAGAATTTTCCTCCTGTTTCCAAGTCCATTTATTTTTCTTTTTATTCAAAAAAATCAACTTGGCTGAAGTACCTTCCTTCACTGTCTTTGCAGTATGGGCAGGTACATGCTTCCCGCCGGGTTCTCCGACCAGCTTGGGGTTGGGGATCAGGGCTGTTCTCTCCTTCTTCTCCACCTGCTGTTTCATCATGTATCCCATCACCACCAGATCCATGCAGGCCAAGTTGAGCTCCATGATCACCTGAAATAAAGAGAAAAAAGTCAAAGTATAAGTGAAAAAGATATAGATTAGCCATAGGAATCTTACCAACACATCACATTCATAGTACCATTTATTTATTTAGGGCTTTTATTTTGAGACAGGGTCTCCCTGTAGCCCCAGCTGGCCTGGAACTCACTATGTAGACCAGGTAGGCCTTGAACTCAGAGATCCACCTGCCTCTGCCTCCTGAGTGCTGGGATTAAATGCCTGTGCTACCACACCTGGCTCAGCACCATTAATTTTTATTTTAGTTATTTGTATTTTATGTCCATGTGTGTTTTGTCTACATGGATGTAAGTAAGCCACATGCATGCAATGCCTACAGAGGCAGCATTGAATCTCCTGGAACTAGAGTTATGGACAGTTGTTAGCTGTTATGTGGGTGCTGGGAACTGAACCTGGGTCCTCTGCAAGAGCAGCCAGTGTTCTTAACCACTGAGCCATCTCTCTAGCTCTATTTTAAATTACATTTTGTGTGTGTGTGTGTGTATGCACTAGCATATGCTACTGGAGGTCAGAGGAAAGTTTTGGGAGTCAGTTCTCTTTTGAAACATCATGTGGGTCCTTAGGGATTGAACTCAAGTTGTCAGGCTTGAGGCAAGTGCCTTTATCTGTTGAGTCATCTTACCAGCCCATACAGCACCATTTCTTCAAGATCTTTTTTTTCCCCCCTTACAGAAGGTCTTGCTATGTTGGCCCAGGTTGGCCTTCAGCTCCTAGGCTTAAGCAATCCTTCTGCCTCAACCTTCCAAGAAATTAGCTGAGGGTGCCCGACTTTCTTTAAGATTTTGAAGCTGGAGCTGGAGAGATGGCTCAGTGGTTAAGAGTACTGACTGCTCTTGAAGAGGGCCTGGGTTCGATTCCCATCACCCACATGGTGGCTACAAACTGTCTTTAACTCTAGTTCCAGGGGAATCCAAAGCCCTCTTCTGACCTCCACGGCACTGCATGATACAGGTATACTCCCATACATGCAAGCAATACACTTATACACATAAAATAAAAATAATAAATAAAATATATTAAAAAAAAGATTTTGAAGCTATAGTCACTGAGACATTTGAAATCTTAAGAATTGTCAATGAAAAAACCAAAGAGCCAATAAGCATATGAAATTTTTACTTCAATTATTGGTTTTCTGTGATGCTGGGGGCCACACCCAAGGATTCTAAATGCACCTAATGCAAATTTATCATTTAAGCTGTACTTCTAGCCCCATCTCAAAAATTTAAATGTACAATTGTATTTATAATGAATTTATTTGCTGGGGCTACGGGAAGACCGTGTCCCAAGAAGACAGAAAAAAAAAACAAACAAAACAAAAATTCCACCAAAACCCAAACAAAAGAACCTCAGGGGGCTGGAGAGATGGCTCAGTGGTTAAGCTCCAGTTTCAGGGAATCTGATGCCCTCTTCTGGCCTCCATGGGCAACGCATGTACATGGTATACTTACATACACGTAGGCAAAACACTTATAAAAAATAAAAATAAGGGTGCTGGAGAAATGGCTCAGCAGTCAAGAGCACTGGCTGCTCCTACAGAGGACCCAGGTTCAGCTCCTAGCACCCACATGGAAGCTAACAACTGTCCAACACTCTAGTTCTAGCTGATCCAATGTCTTCTTCTGGACTCCATGGGCACTGCATGACACAAGTGCACTAACATGCATGCAATCAAAGCACTCATATCCATAAAATTAAAAAAAAATGCTTAGGGCTGGAGAGATGGCTCAGTAGTTAAGAACACTGGTTGTTCTTGCAGAAGACTCAGGTTCAAATCCCAGCACCCACATGGCAGCTAACAACTGTCCATAACTCCAGTTTCAGGGGATTTAACAGCATCTTCTGTCCTCTGTGGGCATTTCATGACACAGGGCACTTATATACATGCAGGCAATCCATGCATACACATAAAATAAAATGATAAACTAAAAACATTAAAAATAAAATGCTTAAAAGAAGCCAGGCATGGTGGCGCATGCCTTTAATCCCAGCACTTGGGAGGCAGCGGCAGGTGGATCTCTTTGAGTTTGAGGCCAGCCTGGTCTACATAGTGAGTTCCAGGCCACCAGGGCTACAGGGAGACCCTGTCTCAAAAAGACCGGGGGGAAAAAAAAAAAAAAAGGATAAATTTAAAGGGGGGGGGCATGCTGTAGAAATAGCTTAGCAGTTAAGAGTGCACACTGCTCTTGCAAAGGACCTGGTTTAAGTTCCCAGCACCCACATCAGGCAGTCAGCTCACAATCATCTCTAACTTCAGTTCCAGAGGATCTGATGCCCTCTTTTAGCCACTATGGGCACTATACTCAAATGCACATCCTCACTATACACATAATTAAAAAATAAATCTTTTGCCTCATGTGGTGGTGCATGCCTTTAACCTCAGCACTCAGGAGTCAGAGGCAGGTGGATCTCTGTGAGTTCGAGGCCAGCCTGGTCTCCATAGCGAATCCAGGCCAGCTGGGGCTACAGGGGGACCCTTTCCCAAAAAAGACCGGAAAAAAAAAAAAAAAATCTTTTTCAAAACCTTTTTGTAACCAGGCACGGTGGTGCACTTTTAATCCCAGTACTCAGGAGGCAGAGGCAGAGGTAGGCAGAGCTCTGTGAGATTGAGGCCAGCCTGGTCTACATAGTTTCAGGCCAACTGTGGCTACAAGACCCTTTATCAAAAGACCAAAAAAGAAAAAGAAAAAAGAGAGAAAAAGAAAGAAGGAAGAGGGAAGAGAAGCACACAGGGAGGCAGACAAGCAAGCCCAAAACAAAACAGGGCCAGCAATATAGCTCAAGCAGGTAAAGGTGCTTGCCCTCAAGTTTGACAACCTGAGTTCAATCCCTGGGTCCCACATGGCAGAAGGTGAGAATCAACTCCTATAAATTGTCCTCTGATCTCCACACCTACACAGGGGCATGTGTGCATACATAACGCACATGAAATAAATATAACTTGAATCCAGGGCAGCTGGGGTTACAGGGGACCCTGTTTCAAAAAGACCAAAAAAAAATTTTTTTTTAATTTATTACTATTATTATTTCTTTTTTGGTTGTTTTGAGACAAGGTCTCCCTGTAGCCCCCGTTGACCTGGAACTCATGTAGACCAGGCTGGCCTTGAGCTCACAGAGATCCGACTGCCTCTGCCTCCTGAGTGCTGGGATTATAGGCGTGCGCCACCTTTATTATTTGTTTTGTGTGTATGAGCGTACTGCCTCCATGTACGTAAGTGCACCTGTGTCAGGCGGAGATGAGAAGGGTGTTGAAGTTCCCTGGAACTGGAGTTCTGGATGGTTGTTAGCTACCATGTGGGTCCTGGAAATTGAACCCAGGTCCTCTCCAAGAACAGCAAGTGCTCTTAATCTCTGAGCCATTTCTCCAGACCTAACTTTAAATTTTTTTAAAGAAACAAAAGTAAGCCTGGAGTGGTGCCTAATGCCTATAATCCCAATACCTGGGAAAGCTGAAGAAGGAGAATTGCTGTGAGTTTAAGTCTAGCTTGGGCTACATTACATAGTACATTCCAGGCTAAAGAATAAGACTCTCATCTCAAATATAAAACTGCCAACATAGCATCAACATTATACTGGAATTTGTTGTATACCCCTTTTAATAACAGTTTTGGAAAAGAACAGTTTAATCTTAAAACATGGCGAGCAGCAATGGGATAAGTTAAAAGAATTTCCTTCCCATGATGAAATTAACTAGAAAACCACAGGCACAGTTTAACAAGAGTCTTGGCCAAGCCCAGTTGTTGCCTCTAGCTTCAGTTTCTGAAACAGTTATGGCTGTTAAGAGATGAGTTTCCTCAAAGCAAATAAGTGTACTAGTCACAACCTTCCAAGTTCACTGAAGTCAAACCCTATTCTCTGCTGAGAAAAAAAATTGGGCAATACAAAGACACTATGAAATTAAAACCTCCTCAGTAACTTCAAAACAAAACAAAAACACAGTTCTGGGACTTGAACTGACGGCTGGCACACAGTAGGTATGCATTCTCCCAGCCTTAGTAATTTTCAAAAGACTAATTTCCATATATCTACAAAAATCTTCTTGGTCTTTTGGTTTCCTATCTATCTGCTTTCTGAAATGATTTTTGGAAACTTTGTGTTCTTTGATTTTTCACTGAGTGTTCATGTAAGTTCATTTAAGAGTAATTTATAGCCGGGCGTGGTGGTGCACGACTTTAATCCCAGCACTCGGGAGGCAGAAGCAGACAGATCTCTGTGAGTTCAAGGCCAGCCTGGTCTACATAGTGAGTTCCAGGACAGCTGGAGCTACAGGGAGACCTGTCTCAAAAAAACCAAAAAAATTAAAAAAAAAAAAAAATTATATGACACACTAGATTTTAAATTTTTAAAAATATTTATTTTTTAAATTTTATGTGTACGCGTGTATTGCCTGCATGTAGGTAAGCACACCCATGTCGTGCAATGCCCACAGAGGACAGAAGAGGCTCTCGGATCCACAGGAACTGGAGTCACAGACAGCTGTTACCACCACATTGGTGCTGGAAACCAAACCCAGGTCCTCTGGAAGTGCTCAGTACTCTGAACTGCTCAGCCATCCCCCTTGCCCTATTGAGGGAATCCAACAGCCTCTTCTGACCTCTGCGGGCATTGCATGACACAGGTGCGCTAACCTACATGCAGGCAATACACAGATACACATAAAATTAAAATAATAAATAAAATATTTAAAAAAAACCCAAAAAACTGTATCTCAACTATACCAAAACAGAATACTGATACTTATGTGTGAAGAACCAGTTCACAATATAGTGCAGTTCAGGCATTAAGTCTTAGGTAACAGAAAAGAGCTCTAGTTCCACTCTACTCTCCCAACCCTGGCTGCAATACACAGATACACATAAAATTAAAATAATAAATAAAATATTTAAAAAAAACCCAAAAAACTGTATCTCAACTATACCAAAACAGAATACTGATACTTATGTGTGAAGAACCAGTTCACAATATAGTGCAGTTCA